AAGCTATTTGAATGCCCTGTTGCAAAAGTAATCTCATTATGTGTCGTTACATCTTATTGTAATCAGCACTATAATAATTTACTAGCTGAAAATTCTAGGTATCATACATATTAGATTTCCTTCGTAACCCATCAGATAAATCCTTAAATACTAGCTGAAAAATTCTAGCGGTATATACATATTAGTATCTTCCATCGTTAAGATACACCATCAGATAAATCCTTAGATACTGAAAAATCTAGCGATAGATACTTTATATTCCATCTTAAGATACACCATCAGATAAATCCTTTAGATACAAAAATGCCAACAAGTCACATGAAAACTTGAAACAATTTTAGTGTCATTATAAAAGTATCTATTATCATATAAGGTTTTTCCTAGAGATATTGAAAAGATACTTTTCAATCTTCTAATACTTAGATGAAGTGTCTTTGCTTTGAAAGTATTTTTCTTCGAGATAACCGCTGCAAACTAAGGATGAAACTAAGACAACCCCCTAAAGGGCATTGAAAGCAGAAGTTAAAGTGGTATCCCAATCTCTTGACATTTACTTCTATCTCGCAATTGTAATCGAGTGATGTGCTTGTTGTTGGATTGTGCTTTTCAGAGCTTGAAGTTGGCCGACCTGCTAGACAGTGTGTTGTTATTGCTGTGGACTTCTTGAACGTGTCAATTGTCATTACCCACAATTTGAGAAATGGCGGGGGAAAGGGCGATGATCGGGATCGGGACAGCAAACATGCCCATTCCATTCCGAAAGGGGAAAATCAATAAATAGCTAAGAGCCAAGAGCTTCTTTCATTTTTTTCTTCTGGTTTTTTGTCTTTTTGTTGTCTGCGACTTGTCGGTGGCAATTAATTTGTTGCTACAGCGGGCGGAGCCACACAAGAACAGCAACAACTACAATGGGAACAATGACAACAAAAGCGGCAAACGGCGAAAAGTCGTTTGTCATTTCCAGTTAACGAGTAATTAAGCATAACGTTAGAATTTTGCAACAACGCCAGTGAGAACAAAAGAAGCTACAATTTTCGAAGGAGGCGCAAATGACAGCGAACAGAAAAAATCTGGCAAGGCATACACATCTGATGTTTTAAATTTTTTTTTTCCTGCAGCATGTTTCCTATTTTTTGTTTGCCCTAAAAAATACGAATATTAAATTCTTGTTCTCCAATGCTGAGAAAGAAATTAATTTCAACAGGCGAGGAGAGAGCTAATTACTTGGCACCCCAAGTGATTAATGACTAAACAAAAGTAAATAATTCTAAAAACACATCAACAACCCAGTTGTTGTTTCTATAATTGGGGATGAGGGAATTAACCCAAAACTTAGCTGTCCTTTTTTTCCAGTGATATAGTAGCTACACTGATTAAGAAAATAGTATGAAAAACATGTTAAGAATGTAAAAACAATGTAAACCAAAAAAAAATAAAACAGTTTGAACAGATCGCGGTTTAAGTAACAACAATTTTAATCACAATCTTATTTAACTCTTTATCGAATTTCGATTATTTTGAAAATTGCAATACTCATTATCAATTTGACATAATTTCATTAAATTAGGTACCTGTGCCAAGTCTTAAAGAGTGACATTTCAATCTATAAACAAAGAATTCTATAGTTTTTGTGATAAATTAAAATCGGCATAGTGTTTGTATTTTAAAAGTAACTCTGAATCATAATATAATTAAATGTGAGTACTTTAGTCGCCCTGCGCAATTAATGCACAATTTGCCACTCAGTCACTTCGAAACTCACAGACTTTTTTGTCGTCGCGCGAGTATGGAGCATACTTGATATACCAAGAGATATATCTGAGAAGTAGGGAAATAAACAAACGCGAGGCAAATGCATGGGCAAACAACAACAAACAGCGAGCAACTGCAGCGAACTGAGGAAAAGAAAAGAAAAGCAGAGAAGAGAGAAGAAAATGGAAGTGGAAATGGGATGTGGAAAATGGAAAAGCGAATGCGAAGGCGACAAAAGACAACCGACGACAGCGTGGACAAACACATGTACATACAATTTGTACACACCCAGTTGAGTGTGTGTATGTTTGTGCATTCATTGAAAAATAAAATTGTACCGCAACCAGAATGACGGCATATAAAAAGTAAAATTAATTGCACTCGGGGGCCGACGTGTTGGTTACTCATTAGGTATTCAATTTAGTGGGGAGGGGTCTTTATAACAACAAGCTATTACAGATTATAAACTTTACAATTTAAAATTGCATGCAACTGGGGTTGAATATCAATATACTGAATATCAAAACAACAATCAAAGACGGGGTAAGACAGACATGTTTTATAAAAACAATTTCTTATAAGCCTGTGGTCTAAATACTGTTATTATATATTTTATATTTATTATCATTATTATCAGAACAACAAATTATTACAGTACTTTAGAATTGCTTGCAACTGGGTTCAAACCTTACTGAATATCCAACCGATACTCAAAGATGGGTAAAACTGAGCCCGTTTTATAAAAACAAAAATCCTAATATACCTATGGACTCTCTCAGTAAATACTATCACCCCTATAATGTATATTATTTTTATTAAGGAAATATAGACAATATATATACAATATTTTTTTATTGACTGAACCCACTAGGGTTTATCATGAATAATAATAATACCAACAAAAAACAGGCAATATAGATTTCAATTAAGAGGTGCCTAGCAACTGAATACACTAATTTGCCAATCTAAGGAGTGCGATATTATAATGTGTTTTTCCGATACCCAAAGTGCCAAGTGACACTCGCACACCCACTTTATAAGGAGTGTGCGGTGGAGAGATAGAAGACAAGTCAAACAACCACAAAACAAGACGGGCAACAAAAATAACAACAAGTTGTAAGCGAAAGCGATAAGAAATTGAAAAAGTGCGTGCCGCTGCATCTGTATCTACAAAATATATAGACATATCTGTGCGTCCATTCAGTTCGTTGCCTGAAGACAGTTACCCCGGTGCATTTGCGTTGCTTTTCGTCATACCTGGCTTGTGTGGAATTACTTAATAATTTCAACAATTTAAAATTCCCAACGCGTTTTTTGCACTCTGCTTTCACGGATTTCATTGTTTTTTATTTTTGTTTTTTGTTTTGTTTGTTCGAGACCAAGTTTTTGGTGGTCGGCTGAATAAATTTAAAAAACCAAAGCCGGCTGAATTCTGTTTGGGTTTTCGTGTAAATCGTTTATTGTTGCCACGTCCGATAATTACAAAGTAAGTCTGAGTCCGTCTGCCTGTCAGCCTGTGTGTGTTTGCAACGGCCTGAGTAAGTTTATTTATAAATTGTTGTCTTTGCATCGCTTTTTATAGCGCTGCATTTGCATTTTGTCGATACGTTAACTTTGCGTTGCACTTCTTTCGAATTAGAGTTGCACCGGGAAATTGATAATAATTGAAATGGGCCCCGCGTAGAGTCCATTCTTATCCAATATCCGCTGGGTGCGTTCAGCAAAGTGTTAATTCCCAGAAATCTAAGTTGGTAATAGCTAAAAAATACTACATATTTTCAATAAATGTTTACTGGAATTTACTGAGATAAGATTAGAATTTGTAAATATTCACTGCAGATAAGGATTTTTCATAAGAATTTGAAACAATGTTTCGATGATGTATCCAAAGATAATAAATTTTGTAATAGGTTGTTATATCACAAGAATTCCAACTATCGATAATTCCATTAAATTGACAATAAATTGATCTTTACATGGGCAAAACAATTGAGTAAGCAAACATATTGCCATTTCATTTACAAATATTTGCCTTACTTTGTTCTCTGTATTTACTTGCTTTTGTTTTCCTTTTGCACTCGGCTCTAAACATTTGAGATGCGATGACAATAAATAGTAAATAAAAGCAAAACAAGCCAGAAAATTGATATAGTGTCTTTTGTGTGCCCGCAGACTCCCCCCCTTTCTCTTTTTCCGCCGGCCCTCCCACCAATTAAAGCCACGATGACATCACGGCCGGCAAACAATGATGACACGCCAACGGAGGACTCTCATTTCGCTTTTTTGCCGCTGTGCAAATTGAAATGCTTTCACATACGCCAGACAGCCATGGTCATCACCATAAAAAAGAAGTGGAAAAGTGGAAAATATTCTTATCAACAGGCAAGGGGCGGGTAGCGTTGCATACAGGCCAAATTCTAAAACTCAAACCGCCTCTGCCCCACAAAAAATATTCTTATCTATGTACGTATGCAGTTTGAGTTAGATAAAACGTGATGAATAATTGTATTTCCGTTTAAAAGCTTACACATTTGCTATCTTTTTCGAGGGATTCTAAAGCATTGATGTTACAAATTTAGAACAATATTGATTCGGCATTTAAAAAAATAAATACAAAGAAACTAATATAGTATAATATACAGAAAACACAAGCGATTACAATGTTATCGCTATAACCTTTCTTTGAGAAATACAAAACCAGCACTTCCTAGAAAAATGCGTCTTCGGGATCATAATTGAGATCTCGTGCTGTTTCTAGAGAAATTAGAAGTCACGAGTTGTGAAATTATAGGTAATTCAACTGAACTAAATATATATCCCTTAAAATAGCTTAATGGTTTGAAAATGTTTTAAAAACATTGGATTTAATATAAAAAATCTTTTGTTTTATAAATTTGCGCCTACTAACATTTCAAACATGTTCGTATTCAGTTAATGAAAACTAAAGGGTTATACCAAATTCCTGGAAATCTCAAGGCCATCTTAGCATTTCGGATGTTGTTTGCTTGGGGAGGCTCTACTGTAGACCAAAATGTGGCAGAGCAGTGCCAAAAGTGAGGCCAGCAGGGAGCTGTTGCTGTTTTCATTGCCCGGTGGTTGATGAAGTCATAGATGGGCGGGGGTCACCGGTGGGTGAGTGGGGTGGGTGGGTCCTGTCCCAGACGGGAATGGAATGACACACAGACAAAGGACCGCACGCGAGGAGTGGAGGAGCATGTATGCACGGCACATACATATGTTTTACTTACCGCTCCGCAATCGGCTGCCGGCGAATTCTCGACGATGTCGTAGATGACATGTGGCGGTCCGGTGGTTCCGAGCAGCGAAAACCCGAAACCGGAATGCTGCTCGCTGCGGCGCAGCACCACTTTCAGTTCCTCGCTCATTTTGGATTGGATCCTTCCTCGTCCTGCCCCCGATCGTTGGGTTAGTTTATTTTTTCTTTCTTTATCTTGTTGGCTGACCCCTGGGCGTAGTTAATCCTCCGCGATGGGCACTTTTCTTAGTCGCTTTAATTAATTCTCGTTTTGGGCTTGGCCAACTTCATTTGCACTCGGACTGAGACACTCTCATTATTTCCACTCTTTCCACTACTCACACACACAACATGTACACACACACTCACAAGCACGCACGGATGACGGACTTAAACAAAAATGGACTCGAAACTCTCCTTGGCGAATTTGTTTAAACATTAGGCATTATTGCATCTGCTCGTTGTGGCTTTCTTCTTTTCACGCAATTTTCCGTTCCGTTCCACGCAAACTTGTTTAATCTGCCCTTCTTCTTCTCGCTTCGTTTCTCTCGGTCGCTTTTGTCCGACTGTTTCGCCGCCGCTCTGCGGTTCGCGGGGGGAATTTAACCGCACATTTTGGGGCGAATGTGGATGCCAGCTATCGCATTGTACGTAAATTGTAAATTAACTAGTTAGTTGTCGTTGTACTGAGAGTGTGACTGCGCGGCCAACGATCGAAAATACCATGCGGCCGGAAGGTAAATACCATTATATACTGTTTGGTTTCGATAATACCAGAGCAAACTTCTTAGTATGCGATACTTTTCAAAATACGGTCACCTACCGAAAGTCTGGCTACTCTTTAGCAGAGACACACACCGAATATGGTTTTTCCAACACTGTTTAGTTTGAACATTTTATTGGCGGGAAATCTTTAAACATAAAATAAGAAAAATAAATGAGACAATTTAAATGTACCATTTTGCCCCTTTACAGTCAAAAAAATGTCTCTTGTGTATCTCCTTAGGCGTAGTTTTTTGATAATAGTTCGGAAAATAACTAAGCCTGTAAATTTATTACACACTTATCTTTTTATTACAGATAATTTACAGTATTTAAGGCATATAACCAAAAAATAATGAGTTAAATTCTTTTACTATAATTTGAAGATCTCAATATCAATTTACTCTGTTTTCCATTTCTGGGGCACGCGCTGATTCGCATATCAATTATAATATCAAACTCCACTTTAGTAAGTAAAATGCTGGGATCTACGCTCAGTAGCAGCGATTAATCCGCCGCATCAGCTTAAAAGCGCGTGCAATTGCGACTTTCAGATAAATCTCCGACTCGATTTTACGATCCGCCGACGCATCGTTGTCTATTCAAATTTTATAGCTCCGCAGTTGGTGGCACAAAGCACTTGACTCATGCGTCCACTTCCGCTCCTGACCGGACGACGGGGGATCGGGTTCGGATTCGGTTTGTTGTGACAACAGTTCGTGGGCAAAGACAACAAGCCGATCTGCGGGTGTCATAACCACTCATACTCGTACTCGGGGTCCAGATGTTGCGCACAATTATCATATCAGCAGCACATCATTTGCGACTAAGTGAAAAAGCAGATTGGCCTGGCACACTCTGCGCCTTCCTTAATAAGCGGCCTCCCCCAAGTCCGAGGTCTCAGTATTTGCTTAGCCTAGAAGTGAAGACACCCAGAATGAAGAACTCTAACGCGAATGCAGATTACGAGTCCTGCTACTATGAGGATATTACAAAGTCGTGGCTCAATCAAACCGAGGGATACACGGACTGCAGTTATGGATACGTTCAAAGTGTGACTTCCCTACACGGATTGCAATAAATAGAGGCTAATTGGTGCAACGAAGCCAGCGTTCAATGGTTACGAAATGAGGAAACTGCTGGACAAGATCTTCAAACAAATGCCCAAACTCCGAACCACTTCCTCGAATCGCAAGGAACGCACTGCCTTTTCGAAAACGCAGCTCAAGGAGCTTGAAACAGAGTTTGCTACTCCAACTACCTGACCCGTCTGCGTCGCTACGAGATCGCTGTGGCCCTGGAGTTGACGGAACGACAGGTTAAGGTGTGGTTCCAGAATCGCCGCATGAAGTGCAAGCGCATCAAGCTGGAGGAGCAGGGCAGCGCCAACAAAACACTTTTCTAGTTTGTACAAGGACATATTTTAACACAATTCATCTTACAAAATGATTTCGCTTACTTAACAACTATAGTAAAGGTATTTTAAGCTACTTCTTGGACTTCTTTGCCTTTCCCTTGGGCAAGGGTTTGGCCAGCGACTTTGCTGCGGCCAGCTGCAGCTTCTGGGTGGCGGCATTTTGTTGCCCTTGGCAGCGGAGCTTGTTTCTTTTTCTGGACACCGCCTGTGCCTGGTTTGCGCTTCAGCTTATCTTCCAGTTAGCCTTGTTCTTCTTCTTCGGCGGTGGCGGCAGTTCATCCTCTTCATCACTGTCATCGCTGGCGTCGTCACTGTCCTCCTCCTCGACCTCCAGCTCAGACTCATCATCGGAGGCATCTACGTAGTCCTCATCGTCGGAGTCCTCGTTGATGGTCGTGCCCAGCAAGTCCTCCAACTTTGGCTCCTTCTTCGACGACTGTTTCTGTTTTTGCCGGCTGTTTTAACTGCTGCCTTGCTTGTAGATGCTTCAGCAGCCTCAGTTGCCTCTGGAGTCTTATTTGTCTTCTTCACGGCTCAACTAAAAGGTTGTTGAAATCAATGCCCAAGTCCTTGTACTTCTCCTGCAGCTTCTTGATCTTGTTGAGATTGGTCACGGTGCGCTTCTGGCAGGCGGACTCATCCCAGTTGTTTTGCTTTTCACGCTGCGCTGGGTGGCTTTGGTCACGTCCGATACGTAGATTTCCTTGCCGGCCTGCAAAGGGTTGTATTTGGATTAGTAATGGATTGGTGTCTCGTAAGGAAGACGTACCTTATTATGACCTTCTTCAAGGAGGTCCTAAGAAGTTAAAGGTCTGCTTCTCGGGCGGAATGTAGGAGGCCTTGACCACTTTCTGGAACATGAGGTAGTTGTCCATGGTGTCGGCGGCCACCTTCGCCACCTCCGGGTACTCGAACTCCACGAAGCGTAGCCCTTGCTGTTTCCCGTGCGCAGAGACCGGGCCAAACGGACGCGGAGCACCCGGCCAAACTGGCGGAAGTACTGGCGCAGCTGCTGCTCGAAGAATCCATGGGGCAGGTGCTTCACAATGACCACGCCGCGTTCCGGGCCCTTTGGTTTTTGGGGCTTGGCCTTAGCACCTTTTTCTTCAGCTAAAATGGATGCAGTTTACGGTTATCCACCACGAGAAACAGTTGTTTTTGTGGGGTGCTCACCTGTCCGGAGACCACATCCTTAGTTTTATCTATGGTTTTCTTGGGCGTGGACTGTTTCTCGATCTTTTGCGCCTTGGGTTTCTTGACAGGCGGCATTTTGAATCGAGCAAAATAATTAAAATCCGGAATAAATGCAGTAAAAGTATAAAAACCGCCGCACGTGGAGCAAGACGATAAGAAGAAGCAACTTTTGGCGTTAGTGTGTTTCTATGATTTTGTGCCATATATCGGAATTTGGCGCCTGGTCACTCTTCGTTTTCTTCTTTTTTTCTTATGTTTTGCGCATTTTATTTTGCCGCCAATATAAAATGAACGTGTCTACTGCGTCCTTAAATAATTCCTTTCAAGAAGAGGACGAAATGCGCCTTGGCTAAACCATGAACACATTAAGACCTTCCTGGGAAATCGTCATAAAGCACCTGTTTCCCTATGCAAATACACACTGACGCCAAACAGGTAATTGGTATTACTTTATAATTTTATCTCATAAAAATTACTTTAACTTAGTTAATGGATCGCTTTCTGGTCACCTTATCGGGGAAGTTCGAGCTGAACTGGAGAATCTCCTAGATCTGTTTACCCTGTCTATTATGATGATGACGTACCAAAGGGACAACTTACTGCTGATGAAGGAGCGTTTTATGCTTGTGGATGTGGTCTGCCATTTGGCGGACTCACTGGATCGGAAGAGGTAGAATCCATATAGAACCCATGTCAAACTATATATCACCTTATATGTATCTCCTCAGATGAACTACATGGCCACTGGTTTATACGCCAACTTGGTGACCGGCGTGGGATTGGAGCGCTTGGAGAGGGTCCTGGACATGCACACCGCCATTCCAGCCTTGGTGGAGTCCTGCAGCCTAGGCAACAATATTGCCGTGGCTCTACTGCTCACCATCATGGCTCAGTACACGAGAGTACCAGTTCAATTGGATAAAAAGGAATATGTAAGCATTAAGCTGATTGTTCAACCATCTTAAAAGTAATTCTATTTAAACAATATCCGTTCCAGGCCCGCAAGGCTTTTGAAATGGCCAAACTAATCAACTGGCAGCAATTGGCTGACAGTGGACGCCAGGCGGATATGTTTATGCTAGTCCGGACGTTCAGCCTGATCATCAATTGTCGCCGGATACGAGAGGAGTGTCTGGACTGGACGAATAATCTGGGCGCCGAGATACACAAATATTTCCTCCAAGTGCGCAAGGCATTCGATCATACGGCCGCCTTTGGCTCCTTCGAAATGATGGTATGTACATAAGTACCTTTTCCCCAGGGAACCGTTTTGATATTTATTTTTTACAGATTGAGCGTTTCATTGCTTACTGCGTGGTCCGCGGAGCCACAACAACGTAAGTTCAAGTGTAGATTTTAAAGTAATGACTTATTTATTACTCTTTCCCCGCAGACCTCAACTATGCAACTACAACATTTCGGAGCTCACGAATTCAGAGTCTCAAAAGATGTTTGATGAAGTGTGATATAGACTTCTATATTAGTTAGTAACGTTATACTTTTAAGAGCATGAAGATTTTATGTCTACATACAGCTGAGATCAAAAATGAAGACCAAACTTTTAACTTGTTAAGTAGTGAATATAAGTTTTTTTATTTTAATAAAAAGTATTAATTTCGTGATTAAATGGAACTGGTTTGTATTGACCTTGAATTTGAAACTCCCGCCTTTTGCAAGTAGTGCAAGGTTATACTAAGCTCTGAGGCCTTTTTAAATGTCTGGCAGTATTGGTTAGAGGAAAAGCGATTTCCATGTACTTCAGATTAATTAAGGCTTCTACCTTTCTGTTGTGTCCTATTATTTATTTTCAAACAATTAAACTAATTTCAGTGAACTTAAATTTGCGAATTAAGCATAAATTGTTTAGTAACGTTTTTTAGTACCTTTTCGCAACAACTGGAACTTTTGGCGCTCTGGCGGCGGTCACACAACGCCCCACGGCACGTGTTGTTGACTGCATTTAAAAAGCGCTTTTAACAACATTTGGCAGGAGTTGCAGTGGCCGAGCAGTCGCACCAGTCGCCCAGCATGTTCTACCTAATCGGCCTCGGCCTTGGCGACCTGAAGGACATCACGGTCAAGGGTCTGGAGATAGTCAAGCAATGCAGTCGCGTTTACCTGGAGATGTACACCTCGATTCTGGGCTGCAGCCTTGAGGATATGGTAGGTATCTAGCGTGGAGCACCCACCCTTGCACATATCATATCACACCACTGCATTTCCCGCCCGCAGCAAGAGTTCTACGGACGACCCCTTCTGCTGGCCGACCGTGATCTGGTGGAGCAGGGAGCGGATGAATCCTGGCTGGTGCGGGCGAATCCGACGTGGCTCTGCTCGTGGTGGGCGACCCCTTCGGCGCCACCACCCACACAGACTTCATACTGCGCGCCAGGAGAAGAACATCCCCTACAAGGTCATTCACAATGCCTCAATCATGAACGCCGTGGGCTGCTGCGGCCTGCAATTGTACAAATTCGGCGAGACTGTGTCGATTCCCTACTGGGACGAGACCTGGAAGCCGGACAGCTTCTACGACAAGATCAAGCTGAACCGCCTGCACAACATGCACACGCTGTGTCTGCTAGACATCAAGGTGAAGGAGCCCACACCGGAGTCCCTGATGCGCAAACGCAAGGAGTACATGCCGCCGCGTTTCATGACCGTGGCGGAGGCGGCCCACCAGCTGCTGTCCATTGTGGAGAAAAAGGACTCGCTGGAGAAGAACACAGTGCTCAACGAGCAGTCACTGTGCGTCGGATTGGCCCGTGTAGGCCAGGAATCGCAGCAGATCGCCGTCAGCACGCTGCTCGAGATGCGCTCCACCGATCTGGGCGGGCCTTTGCACTCGCTCATCATTCCCGCCAAGGAGATGCACCCGCTGGAGGTCGAGTTCCTGCAGCAGTACGCCGCCAGCCTCAAGCTGGACGACTACAACCACTAATTCCGCTGCGAAAAACCTAATTAAGTGTCTAGGAAATGTTGTCTGTGCATCTGAATTGAATTTACGAAGCTAGAGGAGCTGGAAGCTCAGGAAGAAAGTGATATCGCTTGATGCCACCCGTATACGTATGTAGCCTGCCCTTCGGCAGCTGAAATAAAACCGCATTCACCCATCGTATATTTATCTCAGAAGCTTTAATAGAGGGTTGGATATCAATAGTAGAGTCCCCGCATGCGGCGAGAGGATCCCTGGCGGTCGTATAGCATATTAAACTTGTTCACAAAGTGGTGCATATCGTTGCAGCCTTTGGTCAGCGTGCCCAAGTAGCTGATTAGTCCCACATCGTTGCACTGCGTGTAGAATTCCTCCTGAAAGGCGGGCACCTGCATCACGGGCAGTCGGTGGCAGAGGGCGTAGGCCTCGCGCAGAATCTCTGGTTGGCCCGCAGCTTTCCGGCCTCCACATCCCTGATATACTGAAGCACGATCTTTATGCGAGTATTAAGCATCTTAATGGCGCTATCCTGGGCCACCAGATGCTCGGCCACCACGCTCTTCTCGCCGGACTCGTTCGAAGTCATGCGGGCCACATGATCCACGCCAATGCGCTCCGCCTCCTCGGTGGCCAGTGTGTAGGTGAGGGGCACGAACAGCATGGTGGCCTCGCCGTCCACCAGATCGATCAGGGACTCGAAGAGCTTCAGGGGAAGGTGGTCAACGCTGCGGGAGAGCGGATTTAGCTGCAGCATGATGGGGCACTCGTTGATGGCGGCTATTTGTTTTGGATCTTAATGTCGTCGGCAGTGGGATTCTCGCCCGTTGTGTACCAGCCTATGAAGTCAAGATCGCTGAAAACCTGGGGGAAAACAGAGGATTATCCACTGATGGAAGGAGTTGATCCTGGGGCACCCACCTGCTTGTACTGTTGTTCCTTCTTGTTGTAGTAATCCTTGTTATCACCGTTTCATCCCCGATCACATCTGTCTTGAGTTCGAACGAGTTCATAATCTCAATATTGCGGCCCTTCTGTTTGCCAATCAGGGCTCCGTACACCTGTCGCGGTCACCGTGCTGTGCCCTGAACCTTGTCCAGTGCTCCGATATATTCATTATGACCAGGGGATGTAGGGAAATGGTCACCGAGCCACTGGTGCCCACTGCGGCCATTATGTTTCCCTGGGGCTGCGGGTTTTGGTCTGGGGTCGGATCCTGTGCTTTGCTGGCCCCGCCGGAGGAGGACGAGGTGCTCGGCTTGGCCGACATGTCCACATCCACTTCCATTTGTTCCATGCTGTCCGGGGGCCTTTAGTTGGTCGTAGTTTGCGGTAAAAAGCTAAGTTTATTTCTTTTTGTTTGATAAGCTCCGGCTATGCTATCGGTCTATCGTTCGTCGATATTATTTGTGCGAACCTATCGGGCGCTATAGTACTTCGATATTAGAGGCGTTATCGACAGTATGACCCTACATTTTTATAAAAATTAGCGGAGACTTAAACCTCGCTCAGAGTTGCCGTACTGTTAGAATTAACGGTGACTAACTTAATTCAATTTCAAATAACTGTCACAATAATTTATTATTTTGCATGATGAAAGGAATCGTTTTTTTACAAAGTTTTTCTCCAAATTTCAACAAGGTTGTCAAAGGTATTAGTATAATAACGGTTTTACGACAAGCTATCAATTCTCTCAATTCCGGTTTTCTGATATTCTGATATTCTATTGTCAGTTCTTGAGATTTATTGATCTCTTCCGCAACGATGACCCTGCCATTATACAGTTTGTTTTTCTGCTGAAAGACAGAACAAACATAAAGCCACTTGGTTGGTTTATTTTTCGTTTTATTTTATTTATCTTTTCTTCGTTTTTATTTGTCTTCGCTTTTAATTTCGTGCTCGCCGTATTTGTTCGTGCGAATGTTGTAAGTTAGACTAGTTGGCTTAGGACTACAAATATTTAACATTAACATTTAACAGGCTATTTACAAATCGTCTATACACAATTACAATAATCACTTAGCCTAAGGGGATTAAAACTAAACGCGCTTTGTTCGTGAGGTTCTAGAATTAGGCGACTTACACATTAGTCAGATCTCGAAAATTGACCCAGTTTGTTGTACGGTTCTACACATAAGCGATTGCAGCCACAGATGGCGAGAATACGAGAATTTGAGAATTTCAGAATGCGAAGCGAAGCAATCAAGCGAAGCTAGCGAGGAGGAGCTGGTGGATGGGTAATCAAATTGAAATTGAAGTTGCGCATACGCCCCGTGTCCTCCATCATCGGCCGGCGGACTCTCCCGACTTCCTCTGTTTCCGTTTCCGTTTCCTTTTCTGTGTGTGTGCACGCTCGTGTATTTATGGCTCTTAAGCTTAGCTTAGCGTTAGTTGAAACCTTTGTACCAAAACTACTTCCGTTCCGTCCGTTGCCATCACCAATCTGATCCGTTTATGCAAAATTTGTTCCCCCTTCGGGCAATCCCTGGAAGCACTTTCCGTCAACAACTGACTGATTTCTGTCTAGATTTCGCTTTAGTTGGCTTTCAGCTTTTGCGTCAGCATCGCCGTGTTGTTGTTGTCGTCCGCCTTGCAGGGCGTGGCCGGAAGTTGCTGCTGCTGCTGCTGCAGTTGCTGCTGCGCCGCCTTGGACTTCCTGTAGCTCTGCATGTAGAAGTTCATGAAGAGGCAGAAGAAAATGGAGGCATTCAGCAGGAGCAGCGCAGAGATGAACTTGGAGAACTGACACTGGTTGCTGAAGAGGGCGCGGATGGTGTGGAAGATGCACAGCACGAACTGGGCCTAAATGGAAGAAAAGTATTTAAGTTTTAGTAAGTATAATAATATTTAAAATTAAAACTTGTCTGAATCATGCTTAAGGGTTGTCAACGACTCATATTGACTGAAACATATGAATGATTTCTAAAATATAAAATTAATAAATCGAGCTGTTAGTAAATTTTCTTGAATATTTTACTTTAGTTACTCTTTACTTTTAGTTATTTATATTTCCTTTCATTTATCTAATTATTTTATGGTATTTTTATTTTCAATGTAATATGGACTGTAATTAAGATTTATATTTTACGCTCTTTACTTTTAGTTATTACATGTTTTCTGAGTATTATATTTTTTACTGCCATTCGCTTGATAAATAATTATATTGAAGCATAAAAAATAATAGTCTAGATATAAGCACATCGACGAAGGTCGAGAAAATGGACCTCGTATTCAAGTTGTTGATGTAATTTTTATTTTGCCTTTAACTAGATTACCGTTGTCAAATTAATCATACATATTAAGGGTTGTGGGAATCGTAAGGCAAGTGAGCTTGTTACGCCTGAATGCTGGGAAAGTTCTGAAGAGAGCACACGCCCCCTTCCATTCCAACGGGGGTCATGATCAGAGCTCAATTTGACCCACCTCTTTCTGGTCATTGGCGCTGGCGAAGGGCAGAGAGCCAGTCTCGTTACGGAAGTTGTAACGTCATCCAATTAGCCAAGTCGCTTACTGCCGAGTCATAACTTTTTTTGCAGCCCAGGTTACGGCTCTTTGAATGCGGCTAATAAAACGGCTGGCTGTGGAGCACCCTTGAGCTGGGCGGGCAATCAAAAAGCACTCAGTGAGGCAACAATGTGCGCACATTGATTGGGATTAGAATTAGCCGGAGTGTCAGTTTCTCTGATATGCGACTATTAACTAGCCGTGATGCTAGAGCATATGTTTAGCCAAGTGTAATACGCTGGCTTGAGGCTTGGCCTCTGGCGACCTCTTGGCTCGTGTTATAAAGCCCATGTTTATCGCCGCTGTTTGATCTTGATCGATCATAAAATATTTCGATGGCACCCACTCCCACGAGACTCAAGGCAAAGATTCTAGCTAGTAAGACACACTTAGATTTCAAGAATGTCAATTGACTTGAAATTCTAGTTACGTTTAATGAAGAATAGTCAAGTGAGGCTGAGGAATTTGAAATATGCTTGAGTGACATGTATGTGCAACTTTAGTAGAATAAAGAGGGGAATGTCATTGATTTAAATTACGAATTCCATCGGAAAAATATTTTAATTGCATGTATGTTTAGTAATAGATGCTAGATAATTTAAAGTTTGGAAGAAAACATAATAATCTTTAAAACCTATAAGGCTGTTTCTAATACCATATATCTTTGACGTTAATATTAAAACTCATTGAAAATATATTTTAATAGGTGGTTAACAATAGATATCGGTTTCAATTTCAAAGAATATATCTTAAGATCCTAAAACCTTCAGTCTCTAAAACAAGGCTCTCCATATTATAAAATATTTTTTCCTGTGCAGTAATCTCGACAGTGTGCAGTTTTCGGTGACCTACAAAATATTACGCTGGCCAGCCAAGCGATGCAGGTTTCCATTACCACTGCAGCAAAGTCACTGAGCCAACGGCGGCAACAACTGTTGGCCAAGATGCCAACTGCAACTGGCCAAGTTTGCCTCTTGCGGTCCGTTGAAAGCCAACGTCGACGCTTAAATGCCTCATTGCACGAGGCACGACCACCGTGGGCCAAACACAGGTGATTGATGGAAATGGGGCAATATATCTACGTTAGAATTGATGGGAAGTCCGGCAGGTCGAATGGACGGCTTCCTTGTAAACGTTGCCATTATTAAGTGCAAACAGCCTCTATAGAATTTAAATAGTTTCAAAACGCTTCTTTGTTTTCCTCACACTATGCATGCAAAGATTATAGCTCAACCGCAGTAGCCTCTTCCATAAATTGTTTGTAATTAAATGCTAAATTATTTTTGCACGTTTTCTTAAGAGTTTTGACCTCGGCCACTTGTTTGTGGTTCGTGCCGGATTTTCTTTTATTATTCTAAGTGAGTAGATTTTGTAAGTTCTTTAAGTGCGAGTTCTTGAGAACGGAAATAAGTTTGGCTTATGTTTACTCTTGCTAAAGCCAATTTAATGTATTAATCATTTTTGATACTTTATTGGTCGCTGACCTAAACTGATTGATTTCTAACTGCGAGCCTTTGCTAAATGGGCCATATATCAATTTTGTTCGCCTAAATGGGTTTTGTCATCTGATCTTAGTAAGGTCATCTAGGCAAGCCCCTTTCTAAAATGTTTTGGCAATGTTTTTGGGCGTGTTTCATGTTAACATATCGTTTTCGGCTTAAATATTTCACATTATAGCCACA